CTCTCTCTCTCTCTCTCTCTCTCTCTCACACACATGCACATGTACACCCCCCACACACAAACACACATACACAAACACTCATACACACAATCAAATGAATACAGCAACATCAGTAAACTGACTAAATCAATGTAGTGCACTTCTCTCCCCCTCTTTCTTTCTTTCTCACTCTCTTGACCCCTAAACCCACACGCTACTGCTGCTCTGCGGTAAAAAGTATTTGTCATAGTGCCCTTACAGCGGCATTTTCTCTCAACCTGTGAAAAATGCGCGAATCGCAACACATCATTTTGCAAAATCATTTGTAGCCATTTATTCACCAAATAAATAACAATAAACATCATTAAGTAAACAAAGTGCGTTGATCCTTATGCGCTTGTGTCCGCTGCGTGGGTACCCAGCGTGAGCACACCTTTCGATAGCCCAAATGGTCAGTGATGATTTCAAGCTGAAGCGACCTTGAAATCTCAGGAAAGTTTGAAGAGAGTGAGGAAAGGGTAAAACGCCTGTCTTCCTTTACTTTACTTTAATGTCAACTTTGTTTATCAAATCATCACTGACCAAAGATGGAGGCCCCCTCCTGGGTTCATCATGCACTTTTTCTCATCCCTCTTTGAACAAGCGAAACCATTTCCGCACCATGCTTTCGCCCATTGCATTTTCTCCATACATTTCAGAAATCTCTCTATGAATGTCTCTAGGCTTCGTATTCTTTGCAGTCAGAAAACGAATAACAGACCGAATTTCACTGTCAGCATAATTTTCAATCTTGGAAGACATGTTGAAGCTTCAAAAGGGTGTAGAATACAAAATGTGGCTGTGTAAACTGGCGGGGAAGAAACTGGGTGAGATGCTTTGCAAGCATTGTAGATTGTTGTTTACAACGGAAAGATGGAAGCTGAGGGCTCTTTCCGGTTCAGTATTGAACAAATCAACTCACTGTGGTGCAAAATCTGGATCCTAACCCAGTTCAGAGAGATGTGAAAACGGTACTTACTTTCTGGACGTCCCTCGTAGATTGATGAAACGGAGTTATTTAAATCAGTATCGACATATCCAGTACTCTGTGCTAGTGTGATTTAGTGCAAACGGGACCGCAGTAGTACAGGAGTGCCGATAAAAGGAGGTGTTCAAAAATAAGATTTAGAATCTAAATCTGCATGTTGATTTTAAGTAGATCTAGATCTAATTGCGGCATACTTCAGTTTTAGCCCTAAGCCCCAAGAGACAAGTAGGCCTAGGCGTAGATCTGCTGGATTTCGATTATGACATAAATAGGCCTATTTGGTATCGATGATTTATCTGAAAGAGCGAGAGAGGCACTGCTATTTTTTCCAGTACAAAATAATATTTCACATGTTTTTAACAAGGGGGGTTTTTAGGGGGGATTTAACCATAATTTGATGTTTTGCAGTTCAGTTAGGTTTGATATCTCTTGCTCGCTGAGCGTCAAATATCATACTCCCTGTTTTGTCCTTCCTCAGGCGAATCCCTCAGACAAAGCCCATGCTCTCCAAGAGACCAAGAACTATACGACGCACTCGTTGGCCAGTGTAGCCTACCAGATCAATAACTTAGCTACAAATTTTCTCAAGTTACTGGATCTCCAACAGAGTCAGTTAACAGACATGGAGTCAAGTGTAAATCACTTGAATCAGGTAATAAATGAACATGGTGATTTGCTACTTTATACAGTAGTAAATCATTCTTTTTTTTTCTCATGTCTCAAAGTAAAGTTTGAGAGAAATGTTACTTTATGTGTGTGTTTGCATGTGTGTATGTGTGTTGTTTACTGTTTGTCTTGATAGTACTGAATATGTTGACCTAGTATTTTTCTTATGAGGCCAGACCGATTCAAGAAGCTTGATATCTTAGCCTGTTCTCTGGACATTTTCAAAGAACATTCCTTTAAATTGTAAATATGATTTTGTTTTCAGTTCAGTGTTAAAAAAATATATGGTAAAGTTGCTTTGAAAATTTATGGTTCTTTCTAGAAAAGTATTTGAGCTTAAGGTTTTGAACTCTTAAACTGTTTTGAAAAAATGAAAAAAATCACTCTCGTTTATATGTCAATTTGAACTTTAACCTCAAATGATACCAAATAGATTTAAACTTATCATTCTTTCATTTGTTTTGTTTTCAGTTTGTCATGATTCACAAAGAGAAGGTAGCGCGAAGAGAAATTGGAGTGCTCACATCTGGGAGAAGTGTCCATCGTCCTCTCGGCATGAAGAACGGTATTATATACCCTGAGCAGAATGAGCGACCAATTAAGTACACAAGGAAATCCATTGACTACACTATTCTAGATGACATTGGCCATGGTGTCAGGGTAAGTTAAAAATGAAGAGCACCATTGTTTGTCTTTACTCTTGAGACAAAATTTTGTATCGTAAAGATATATTTTTGGCCATGGTTCAGGTATGTAAAGAAAAAAAAAATGGGTTATATAGTTTCTCTATTCTCTTGAGGTGTTTTGTATTATTAACTCTTCACCTTTTATTTTTAGAACATAATTACAAGTGGTTGGAGGTGTGCCGGTAGGTCCTCATTTTGCTTCTTTTCCTGCCTTGCATTTACCCAGTACAAAACATTTCTCTGTTGATGTGCTTCTCTTTCCTCAAACAAGATACCTATTATTTGCGGGTAATAATTTGACCCTTTGCCCACAAGGAAGGAGGACATTATATTTCTCCTCATTTGATCATCAGCAACAGCAGCAGCAGCAACAAGTGACTGTCCGCAGTCCCTCCATCAGCAGCACCCACAGCAACTCCAGCACCAACAACAACCAGGCCCCAACCACCAAGCCCCCCACCCCACCCGTCGGGAGGGTCGGATCCAGCGGAACCATCGGACGGGCTAGCGGGGGTCACTACAGGTCACTGGGACCTCCAGTGGCGCCCCCCGTGGCACCCCAGTCTATGTCGCAGGGTAATTTCCCCCCTCATCCTCAGTCCAGCAGGTCTTCTGTGTCTTCAGGGGGGTCATACTCACCCTCTAACACACTGGTGATGGGTCAGATCCACCACCCCTCCATGTCCGGAATGGGCCAGCCCATGCAGCCTCCCGGAGGAGGAGGGTATAGCCACTCACAGAATGCACACCACCATAATATGCCACTGCCTTCTCAGTCTGCACTAATGCATCCAGAGGCAAAGGGTAATTTTTTGCTTGTTTTCTTACCACATATTTTTTTAGCTGTCATCATGCATTTGAAATAATGTCCTTTTGGCCACAGTATTAATAAAATTATAGATCACAAAATTTAACTCTGACAGCATTGGTATGTCTCTGAATTTAGCCTCAGCTCAGTTACTGGGAATTTGACCCCAGTAACCACTAAATATTTAGGCCATTACACAGGAATTTTATATAGATTGCAGTTCAGCTGTATCTGCCAAACCACATTAATTAGACCCATAAGACTACTTTATGCACACATTTTAAAGGGTTTGGGGATTTTCTTTGACACCAGCATGTAAAAAAGTGCAACAAAATTGGGAATTTTTTTAGGGGGTTGAAATGGGCTCTGTCAGTCTGGCAAGAGACCTGAGGGTGCTTTTATCCCCCCATTGACTGAGTTAGCCTAACTAAAAATGAATTTATTTGTAACAGAAATTATCTGTAATTACCTATCCAAAGCCAAAAATTTGCTATGGTGTTTATTTTCAAGTGCATGGTGATTTTAGATTTTCTTCAGGAGATCTGAAAAGAGGATTGTGTTTATCTTTGGTGAATTGTTTTTAATTCAAACAAAAACTGCATTACAAATTCCTGAAGAAAGTAGTTTCAAGCACTGGGTGGCAAAGAGGTCTTTTTTTTAACATTCACCCGGGATTTGAATTCCAAATTTGATCCAAGCAGTTGCCATTAAGTTTCTGAACTAAGTTTCACCTCAAGGTATTCAAAGTAAATAGAAGCAACAGAACTGCAATTTTTAAATTGTTTGTAATTGAGAGACCTCATTGCTAACCATTGCCTTACTCCTTATGCTTTATACTTTGAGTTCTTTTTAGACAATCAAGGCTGACTTTTTTAATGCAAGATTGCAAGAGAATAATGGGTGATAAAAATATTTTGTCTATGATAGTAGTGTGTCTCTGGAGAAAAAGTAAAATATGGAAGTATTTGCACACAATCTTCAAATTGTAAATGGCGCAAAAAAGTAATCATCTGTTTTATTCCAGTGTTATGCTAAAGTTTGGCGCTCAATTTCATGAGCAATTTATTGACTTTCTCTAAAGGAATCTTTTTTGTATTTCGTAAACTGAATTGAGCATCAAAGCTGAGTCCGGTAAGAGTGACGCTCATATCTCTATGATTTCCTTTTTATCATAGGCGCCTTCTGATTTTTAATCTCACTCTTTTTCAAGCATAAACAAAACGATTGCACATTTTTTGAGTCTATAGCACAGATCTGAAACACTTGGCTTATAAAGCACACATACCAATTATTTATGCACTTCTTTATTTTTTTAACAACAATCTTTGTAAAATAGATTCATGTTTTTTATGGTAAGACTCTTGTGGTATGTACAGTGAAGACAGCATTATGTAAATGATGTAATGGACGAAAAAATTATAATGAAATGAAAATAAGGCTTGAATATAGAGGGGAGAAAGTGGATGGGGGTCTAGACAGTTCTCCTAGAAAAAGGTAGAGTACGAGGCATAAAGATATTTCAGAGGGTAGTGTGGTTTATTAAGAGGCAGTTATTAATTTCACAGAAAGAACAGAAACCAAATACGGCACTATTCTGTCCCAGCAGAATTATGCAAATTTAGATGGCCAAATTATGCTAGACAAATGCAAAATTATGCAAGTTACCCTAACGCCATTCACGACAAGTTTTGCGCTTTTTCAAATTTTAGTGGTTTAGATCTATGTACAGAAGAACTGAAAACAGAACATGTCAGTATTAGTAGTTTTGTGTGTATTTGGAAAGATACACATCTTTCAGAACCCCCCCCCCCCCCCCCCCCCCCCAAATATGATATTTGTAACTTTCAGCTGTATAGAGGTAAGAAAAATTATTTTTACAAATTAAAAAAACACCCAGACCTCTGATGCTGGCACATCACTAAAACCAGGGACGCCTGTCAAACATGAAACATCAGCAGGCTGGAGAACAACTTTTGATGAACTGAAAAATTTAACATGCTCAAAGAACAAAAATCCATAACTAGGGAAATAACCAACTTGTCACTTAAATGAGACTTATTACTATGATTACTTCCCATTAGTCTCATGACGAGGCATTAAATTGTTTTGAGAAACATTTTATTAAAAAATGCGGGTAATCCAAACTTATGCAAATGTTGCAGAATTCTGCTAAAAAAAGCGGCTGCACAATCGCGTAATCTGACAGGGACAGAGTATTGGGAGAAGCCATCGTGGGACAGTCACTCATAAAGAGTAGGAAGAGACAAGAGTAGTCTTCAGGACACTTGAATCGACATACAAGCCTTAGAGATCTTGCTCTCACTTGAAAAATAGAAGGCAACGAAGGGAAAACTAGATCAAGAGTAAGTTACTTAAAGAATTTGAACAGATGAGTGACTGGAAAAGACCAGGATATTATCAGGGGGGGGTTTTTTTAGAGCTTCAGAGCTGAGAAATGAGTTGCAAATCATGATCGCTGGTGTCTGTCTCAGGTCTTGCGCTAAGTAAAAGAAATATGTGATATAAAAAAAGTCATGATGGTGCACTTATTTAAGTAGAATAGTAATAGCAAGTACTTAGTAGATATTGACCATGCGTTAACCAACATTTGCCTTGGAAAGTCAAAGTGTTCTGAAAATTGTGCTTTTAAGAGCTCAGATAAAACGTGCGAATTGTCTTCTAAGCTTTACTGTGATTTTGTTGTTCTTCAGAATTGATTGGGTACATAATTCCCACTTTATAACACAGCATTATTTTCTAATACTAATAGCCCATTGTGTTTGTCTGAATAGATATATCGCAACTTTTAAGTCCTGAAGTATTAACTCACAGATTGTACTCAATTCCCATTCCATAATGAAAATGTATTTCCAAGTGATATTCATGATATCAAATTCTGCGTTACATCGCCAGCTTTTAGGTCTTGAAGTGCTAACTCTCAGATTAACAGGTGCTCGTTTCCCATTTCATAATATAGCATTATTTCCTGACATACTGCGTGAATTCACTATCATATTTTGCGTCATATGATATCTGCAACTGTATAGTCCTGAAGTATTAACTCAAAAATTTAACAGCGTATACTACACTTGATTTCATAATGTGGCATCATGTCCTATCATATTGCGTTTATTCATTATCTGGTCTTGGGTCATATTTGCAGTTTTTAGACTTCAAAACATAAACTCCCATTAAAGCTAACATCTCATGGGTGATGTTTTCTCTCCATGGAATTATATTGACTTTAGTTTTATAATTTGCTTCTCATTCTCACAGTTGCCTGCATATTTTTTAGTAAAACGCAGCACATCATGCTGTTCTATATCAGGATTTTATGAAATTGAGTCTGGTTGGGTTTTGTTTTCAGGGCTCTTTGTCATTGGGTGTAGGTTATGGCTTTGGGTGCAGCCTTTTGGTAGTGTGGGTGTTTTTTGTGGGGTAGGGTATTCATGATTTGGTGGAGATTTCATTTTCAAACGTCTTCTTCCACTGCTAAAGAAAGTGAAGGAGCCAACAGTTTGAAATATGAAAAAAAACCCACAGAAATATAATATTTTTAGAGGAGAGGTTATCGTTATAAGCAGTGCGCTTTTTTGACTCAGAGCTATTTTCATTACACATTTCAAGATTTCAAACTGAAACCTTGTTCATGTTTGTGCTTGTTATTGAAGTAATCAGTAATTTACATTGCCAGATAAGACTGCTTTAGCTCTTGATTTAAAAACAGAATATATGTGCTTTGAAAAAAGATTGCTACTCGTGAGATCTAGCTAGATATAGCGCCTCTCAGTCTCAGAGTGTTTTTTTTTTTTCAATGAAGCTTTTTCATCTCTCTGCTCATTCTTGCAGTGATTTACTAACCATGATAATCTCCCTTTACTCCAATTCAACAGTGGCATATTCTAGAAATAATTCTGGTCGTGGACAGAACTGGATGGGTAAGAACAGACGAGCTAAGAATCTTGTCGTTTCGGCATTTGATGTTGTGATACTACAGGAATGGTTCAGTTGAATGGTTCAATTAGCCTTGCTTGTTGTGAGGGCTAGACTAATACATAAATAGATGCTGAGTTTGATGGGAATGTTGTAACAGACTTTGCCTGTTACTCGTTGTTGTTGTTGTACAGCTGTTGTTACTACTGACTGCCTCAAAGCACCAGTGAATGATTAATATGTTGTCTGAGTTTGATCGTTGTGTTGCTGGTGAAGCCTTAGTTGGGGGGGGGGGAGACATGCTGGACAGTTTTGTAAATATGAAACTCTTATATAACCGAAATAAACACGAGTTTCTGTTCTTTTTACTATTTTGCAACAATTGTCGAAGTATGAATAACTGATCATTTGGGTCACAAAGCGGTGGAATCGGGTGCTCATTAAGGCTTGGCCAAATGCATTTATTGGGATCATCTTAAAGCGTGTTCATTTGCCTTGCTCGTAATGGAAAAAAAATACCCTTCTATTATGAATAGAAGTCGAGATATTTGCAATTGAAAGAGGTAGAGGGGGGGTCACCTAGTTTCAGAGGTAAAATTAGCAAGTAAATAGCTGTCAAATTTTGGTAACTTCCATAGCTTGGGAGTCCTTAGAAACTGAAAATTTATATTTTTTGTGTGCCTTTAATCGACATATTTTTATAAAATCCACACTGAAAAATGTTTGTGAATAATAAAAGGTGTTGAGCCAAAAAACAAAAATTTGATAAAAATTGCCAAACTGGCGGGAAAATGCAGGTTTCTCCAATTTCATTAATTTGATGAGCACCTGGTTTCATCATGATGCTTCACATACATAAATGAGTACTTTTTATCTTTATCTTTTGTAAATGGTGTACATTCCCACAATTTTATTTTGAAATCCAGCCAGTGTGGCTCCAATGAGAATGTACTTACCTCTACTTGCAGACTATAATATATAACATGCTGACCATGTCTTAGCAGTAGAGGGAAATTTAATCCAAATGCAAACTGATCTACATGGAAAAACTTTAGTTCAGAATAGATTATTTTTCATCCGAATTTTAAAATCAAAAGCTTTTATTTTATTTTTCCCATTCAAATGTAAACAGAAACTAGATTAACGAAACCAAAACTGGTTTTGAAGAAAAAAATTGGTCTTTCCTGGTGTAGGCCTATGAGCAGAAAGAGCGACTTCTTTTGATATTTACATGCTTTTCAAATTCCTGCTTCCTGTATGGAAAGTATTCTTTAAATTTCCTCTTTGGGTCCCTCTGCCTTTTTTCCTATTTGTGGCTTTAATTGAACCGTGCTGGGTTTTTTCCCCTCTTTTCTGACCCTCTGTCCTTTGTGAGCTGGCATGCAAGGATAGCGGGCCATTTTGTCTTTTTGTGTTTACCTGAACCAGAATCACTTGATTCAATTCTTGTACGGTACTTTGAGTGTTAAACAATTGTGACATATTTATAGTAATTGGTAACTGACTTTAGTTTTTCTTTGGGTTTTCTCGCAATACAGTTTCTGATAAAAAGGGTTTCTAATACCAATTAAAGTTTGGTACTTCAGCTAGCATAGAAAGTGATGACAATATGTGTTGATGTAAGAGTGAAAATTTGTGGTTTTCTCAATTTTGCTTTACAGAGTATGAAGGGTGTTCATAGAAGATGCAACTTCAGAAGTATATGTTGTAGGAAAGGAAGCACTGATAAAAATTAAGAACGATAACAGAACATTTTTTATTTCCGGTATGAGTCTGTTGATCTGTGCAAAAATACATTTGGAAATGTTTTTGTGACCTCTCCTGCATGTATGGTAGAACAGACATACATGGAGTAGTTGCATGGTTTGTTTATAAATTCTACTTTTTTTAAAAACAAGAACAACCCAGAATACTTGAAGAGATGTCAAAATTCACTACCTCAGTTTGCATTGACACCAGTGACGTTAATGTGAAAAGTGGCGGTAGCTATTGTCCTTTCTTAATTTGTGAAAGTGTGAGTATGTGTGTGTATGTGTTTGTGTGTGTGTGTGCGTCCGTGCGTTTGTACGTGTGTTGTTGTTGTTGTTGGTGTTGAGCATGCAGATGAATGCTGAGGCTTATGCTTCTGTGAATAAAAGTGGGGGGAAGGGTGCAGAGAGAGCAAGGTAATGGAAAGATGCGAGAATGGTTTAGAGGTTGCATGGGGAATGAGAGGATGATAAATGGAAAAATAGCTAGGGTTGATTGTCACAATATTGTTGTATATAAAATCTTTGAAAGATTTTGAGTTCATGTATTCCTAAGCAAAAATAAGTGTAAATAGTTTTGTTTTTCTTTTATATGTAGGGAGAACAGGTTCACTGTACCGGTATATACAAAGTTTTTCAGTTTCCACTCATGTAACTGGAAGTAGTATTGTCCTCATATCTTGATTGGATTTGGGACTCATAAACTCAAGTTATTTATAAAGAATACAAGCTTGTTTGCATGGTCATTGTCTTGCACCAAAGGCTTTCTCCGCATGCTAAAAACATAGACTCTCGTTTCCACCTGAAATATCCCCTTTGTCACTGTGGCAAGCATGTGTTTTGTCCCATGTGCATTGTTCACTGCAATTGTTTATGTACAATGCAAGGGGTTGGAGGGCACCACTGGTGTATCCTACTTCTTTCATTTCCCTCTGTTGTTGTTGTCAGTCAGTCTGTTTGTCTTGGTTTCTTCTCTGCACTGAGTGGTTGTTGTTATGTCTAATACTAATAGATGAGTATCTCTTTACTCGACAATTTGTTGGTGTGTCTTGGAGTAGGGTGTGGTTCCTATGCTGGGATGGAAATGGTCGAGAGCTTTTCAAAAAATGTGGTGGTGTGTTTGCATTTGGGATGAAAGAACCCTCTTTATATACAAATATAGACGTGCATATCTCACTTCTGGGTGGAGAGCTGATTGAGTTGTATTCCTGAAAAATTAAGAACATGAATTTAAAGTAAAACATAACTCACAGAAAATTTAGACATTCACTCGCCTTTATGAATGGATTAGTGATTAGTGTGAAAAATGTTCAAGAATTTAGAAGCGAGGCACTGATGGTTATTATATTTGTTAATATCTGGTTGATAAAATGAATATTATTTCCTTTATGATATGGGGAAGGGGGCGGTGGGTGGGATGTGGTGATGGGGAAATAATAAATCTTTAATATTGTCATCGATATATATCATCACCGTTTTTCTTTGAACCATGTGACTCCTGTGGTGAAGGTTTGAATATAAAGTACAACACCCCTCCCTCTCCCCCCCATTTCGGATAACTTCATTTATTGCTCAACACCCAGGGTCACAGTTATGTCTTTCAGGATACAAGGGGCTGTGATCGCCATGATGCTCAAAGATGTAGGGGAGGGGCTGTACTTTTATTTTGCCATGGTGATTAATCGTGGCATAGAAAGAGCAACTCTAATTTCTCAAAAGCAAAGCTTGCATGCCTAGGGCTTTCTTTCTCTCTGGTGTTGTTGTAAAACATTTTTCTTGTGCTACACACATTTTTTTTTGCCCCCCCCTTTTTTTTTTGGTTTGTTTTGTTTTTGGTTTAGGTTCACCTTTGTTGTGACGGCTTCTTGTTTTTCACAGAGATGTCCACCACCTCCCTGCCCCCTCCACCTGATGATGACATTTCCGAGCCTTTCATGGTTAGCCAAGGTGTGCGCATGTTTTTTCTTTTGGCTGATCACACTTAACATTTGAACCCATTTGATGAAAATCTAACCCACCTGCCGATTAATAAAGCTTTCGTCCTGCTGCTTCTTTTTTTTGTTATTGCCTCCCAAATTTGCGAATCATTTTTCTGTGACTTTTGATAACAAACAGATAATGAGATGTGTATAGAACAGACAGGTTCATTTTTTAATGTTTCTCCATTTCTGTTTTTCACCAAGGAGCTGAGGTATTACGTATGTTTTTTTCTCAGTGTAAATAAATACAGTGTTCTACTGTACAATACAGGGTGTACACCCATTCTCACACTGGTTGCAAAAAGAGAGGATGTTTGTTATACTTTTCAAGTGAAAGGTAAATATTGGTACAATGTATATTGCTCGACTTTTTGTCAGTAAAATCAAAGCACTACCTAAATAGTAATAGTTGTATTAGTTAGGTTTTTCAAATTTTATAGAAATCTTTTTAATCTTAATCGTAGGGTATTTACTGTGTTTGGGATTTTTTTTCTTTATAAAATGTAGTTGTAGATGACAAGCTGAAACAAAGCAGTGCCAAACTTATGGGGGGGGAATGTCATGATTTTATTGAAAATTTGAAACTTTAGGTTAAATACAAACTCACTCTGACAGTCCCCTGTCCAAGACAATCACTTGTACAAATGACCACTTCCCACTTCCCCCCTTGAGTTTTTTCAATATCATAATGTCACCGTCCGAAAAGACTGTCTTTCAAAGGTGATCACTTTTCTCCTCGGCAATGGATGGTCATTTTCAACAGATTTAACTGTACAGTATTTTTACTCTGCAAACTGTAGTTGCTGATAGTGTGCCTCTAGATTCCGTTGTACATTGTTATCCTGAAATGTTGTGATTTTGTTACTGGCTGTTTAGTTATGTTTTCTGTTTTGTTTTGTCATTTTCATTGTTGTATTGTTTTAGTATAGTTAGATACTATTGTCTGTTGTTGTAGCAGTATTGAATGTTAACTGTTTTGGTACACATGTGGTTTATGTTCATCAGGGATGCTGATTTTCAGGATAAATCTGGAAATTCAAATTTCTAAAATTTTCAGGATTTTGTACCTTTATATAAAAGCAGTGTTAATGCAAGACATATTTCTACACATTGTGATTTGTAAATTTTGAGTTCCCATGCACACGTTTGTGCGGGATTGGAAAAGTTCCGGGGGTTTTTTTTCCGTAGCCAGTTACCATTTATGGTGCATCATGATCTGTGAAGGGCGGGTGAAGTGCTGTTTGCTGTTTTGTTTTAACTGGCCAAAACCAGCCGCAAAAAAAATGCAGTAGCAAATTTTAACCAGTGGACTGGAAACCCAACAGGGCACACAGCTTGGTTTTTTTGCCTTTGTTTAGATTTCCTCAAGGATAAACTTGACAGTGATAAAAATAGATCACCGACATAAAGCTGTGACTTCGTACAGTCCACTCCACTTGTAGCGAAGTCAATTGTAAAGACCTTCCGGCGTAATGATCTTTTTCCGAGGAATGGGCACCGATGTAACACAAACTCAATAAAATTGAAACGTTTGTACCGTATTCACTACATCCATCGTGACAGCTGTAGTGATGCGTATTCTTATCCCTGGCCCATATAGTTTATTGTAAAAATATAACTGTTTAAACGATGTTTCCCCCGTGGTTAGTTTTGACCTAGCATTGATGAACCTGATGACGTTTTGTAACGTTGCGCACATTCACACAATAGTATGAGGCATCAGACACTATCTCCCACATGATACTATTTTGGTAACCTTACATGATAAGCGCTGAAGCTCAATATTAACTCTACAGTGAGGTTGAATACTGGGATTATTTCTCTAGAATTTTTATTCCAACGGCTGTTGCGAACTTCAGATGTAGCAACCTTTTTTCTGGTCCCCCAACAACATCGCAACAAGCGTAGACGACTGTATTCATTTCCAGTGAGGAAAATGTGATGCAACGGAGGATGTCCGCAGCCAGAATTTACTTCTATTTCGATCAAGCTGAAAAAAAGAAATGGGAACAACAAGAGGCTGCTGTGCAGATGAAGTTGAAAATTTTTTAATGGGCAGACGTGGGCCGTTGTTAATAGATGAGTGCGAACAGTAAAGTAAGCATGACCACCTTTTCCCCTCTGTGCACCTAGTACATTCTTCAGTGGATGGTGTTTGTCTACCACCAGACCACCCAAAGACATGCAGGTGCACAGGTCTTGCAGGCTCAGGGGTTCAGGGCTCGCTGGGTTTATGAATGTGGTGCCAGAACATGGCTTAATGCTAAAATAAACGTCCTTTTCCAATGCTGTGTACTTCAAGAAGTGGACGGTTGGAGAGTGCTACTGGTAGGTCATGCTTTTTTGACTGTTGTTTTTAATGTGGCTTTCTTACTTTTCCATGCACTTAATTGTTTTTATTGTGTCAATGTGTTTCCCTTTTCCAAAACATACAAACAAAGCAAATGTTGTTGGCAAATTGTCAAACATATTCACACACATACTGGACAGTCTCCTACTCTTTTTGCTCAAGTAAAGAGAAGCACATTGATGCATTAACAATCAGTTAGTGCAGGGCAAAAGAAAAACCAATTGTTAGAAACAATAGAGGGAAAAAAAAAGATTTAGGACCTTCTTTTGGCACCCTCCACACTTTGTGACTTGGACTCGACAAGATTTAGAGCTTTACATATTCATTAGGAAACTATAATTGCAACTGTTTAGGATAACAATTTTTGGAACAGGTAAGCCCAGATGCAGTATGACTAGACTAGATTTAGATCTTTACAAATTAATGAGATGAAATATGCCTACGACTGGTTATCCAACTTTTGGTTTGAAAATAAACCTTACAATGATTTTTTTTTTCTTGATTCAACACTTTTTTCACGTTGCTGTGTCCACCAGCCTCCCCACCACTCCCTCCCCCACCAACGTATGACCAGAATGACCAGTTTGACTACACGCCGCCCCCGCCCCATGACTTCAGCGACGTGAGACAGGGGCCGCCCAGCACCAGGGAAGGTCGGATGATTGGGAGTATCCCTGAGGACACGTACGGGGTGGTTGGAGGGGGAAATGACGACCCGTACGCGGCCACCGGCCCACAGCTGCTGGCACAGCCTACATGGATCCCTAAGCATTACTTGGAGAAAGGTACTTTTTGTACTACGGTAGCCTACTGTAAACGGGCCTTTGATTCACGTTTAATTCTTTTCCTGCTCTTGTTTTTCTAACTGGGAATGAACAGTTTTCGGGGCGGTTTTCTTCCTTTTTGACTAATCGGAAAAAGTATACGTGTAATTTGTTTGCTTGGGGAAAGCTGCTCAAAGGTAGTAAGCCCAGAAAGCAAATGTTTTCAGGAGAGGGAAAAACGGTCTCGTTCTTTTTACAATTGTGTCACAACGCAATGCAATATCAAGAATTTGAATTTCTACAAAAATATTTCTTTGGCACATGTAAGGGATACCGGCGACACAGATTAACACCTTTTTCTCTGGCAAGCTGTTCTTCTAGAGATGAGTTTAGATAGTGGGGGAAAAAGAATTGTCAAAATTTGGGTCTTGGTACATCTGAACGGCAGATCGTTTCTCTCTCTCTCTCTCTCTCACTCTCTCTCACTCTCTCCACCCTCTCTCTCTCTCACCCCCTCCTCTCTCCCTCCCTCCCCTCCTCTCTCCCTCTCTCTTTCTCTCTCCCTCCCTCCCTCCCTCTCTCTCTCTATCTCTTTCTCTGTCTCTCTCCCTCTCTCTCTCTAACTCTGTGTGTGTGTGTGTGTGGAAAATTAATTTGCTGTCATACATTTTAAAAAAGTAGTCTGAGCACAGTGGTTTGCAGAAGTCTGAAGAGTTTGAAATGGAAGAGATAAAGAATTTGTCAAGCCATGAAATGTGTCTCACTGCCATGAAGTAGGCCTATGGATTGCCCAAGCCACAAAGTGCAGCCTGTGGTAGGGCATGGCTCATGTGCACACAATAAAGTCTCTGGATTGACACTGCATCCATAGGAGAAAATTTATGCTTCAGTTTGTGTAAAGACAGAAGCACATCGACATGATAATTTGTCATTCACATTCAGTAACAGGAGTACTTGATAAAAGATGGAAACAATAACGGGAGGGTAAAGAAGTAAAATATAGTACAGGCAACTCACTCCAACTGCCAGTGTAGTTGGTTTATTTAATTTAATCAATAAACTTTTCTTGAATGTCACTTTGTCAACGGAGGGCTCAAAGGATTACATGTAGCCATATGATGCCCATCAACTGGCTTTGCCTTTAGTTAACGTTGTTTTAGCTCTGTGTTAGTACAGGATTCTTTTGTTTTTGTTCCTTCCCCAGTTGTTGCCATCTATGACTACCAGGCCATCAAGTCTGATGAGCTGTCGTTTGCTGAGAACGCTGTTGTTTATGTCATACATAAAAATGACGACGGATGGTGGGAGGGTGTCATGGATGGGCAGACTGGCCTTTTCCCCTATAACTACGTTGAGCCATGCATGTAATATGTTATATAATACATAGCTATGTTTCTCTTTTTCTTTCCTTTTCGGTACGATACCAACAAGTGTAGACTTTGGTATGCCTTTACTTTGCCATTTTCTTGCGCTTCATACGGCACATACTACTATGTTTTAGGAACTGTTTGATTTTGTGTTTCTCTGGACTTTCAGTCAGAAATTCCTTATCAAATATATGGCGTTGTTATGGTTGCAAAAATTGGTCACCCCTTGCAGAGATCTGATCATAGTACACTTACGCATGGCAAAGTCTTTTTTAAATCAGACTTTTGCATTTACTGGTACCAATAAGCCCAGGTCTTTTTTCACAAGTCATTTTGTAGAGACAGGAGCTTTCGTTTTGAATTTTTGCCCGCTATATGGGCTGCTTCTTTGTATTGTCTTGACCTGTTGTGCGATGAAGTAAGAGTGAATGCTGTGCAGTAGCAATGTGCAAACCTTTTTTTGAGTGTTTCTTAAAACGCCTTTGTATATGACAGTGTAGATGGAGGAGAAAAATGTGGAGAAGGTTACAGTTTAGTCCAGGGGTGGGCAAACTACGGCCCACAATCCAAATGTGGCCCTAGCAAAGTTTAGCATAATTCTGAAATTTTTTATTTTAAAAAAATTAAAAATCCATAAGTTTTTGTAAAGGTGATCACGTCTGTCGATTTACTAGAGGCAATACGGCCTGTTGTAGTATCGTAGAAATCTTATGATGCTGTTTATAATGTGCACATTTTTTATAACAGAAAAGTATGGTTAATTAATGCATTTAGGTTTTATTTAATATGGTGTCCTTTGATGTTCATGGCTAAGTTGAAGTGGCCCCTGATTGGAAGTCTTGCCTTTTAGTTTAGCAGTCTGAAGAGTGCCAATGACAGCGCAAAACTTTTACAATTATAATTCATTCTACAGATAAAAAAAAGTTTGCCCACCCCTGATTCATTTTCCCTTTTAAACTTCAATCGAGTAAGAGGAGGGATTGCTCTTGCTCTTCGACTTTGGTTTCTTAGTAGAATTTTTGTAATGTCTTCCTCTACTTAAATCTTAAAGCTGGAAATGCTCTCATTGACAAAAAAAATTGTTGGCAGATAAGGAAACAAGATGTTTGCTCAGCACATTATAAAGATTGTTATTATTATCATTATTTTTTAATTTCCTGGTAGGCCTACTAAGCCTGGAATGACACATTTTACACACTCAACCTCATCTGAAATGCTTCTAGTCAAGGTGTTCATGAAGTTTGTTGTTTTCATCAGCATTTTCCTTTTTCTGACATGAATCTCGCATTGAAACTAATTCTATGATTGTTATTGAGTGGCTACTGGCAAAGTGACAACATTCGCATGGAGGAAAGTTTTGTGTTACTATATTTGTATCAGACTTTTGTTCAAAAGTTTTCGTCTCCAATGCCCCATCCTTAGCCTTCTCCATTTATTTCCTTGCAGCAGATTAATAAATTTGTTTGGAAGAAGCAGGCTGCTACTCCTCAGTGTTTTTATGGTGTACATAATAGATCAATTGGTGCAGGACACTTTATACTTTATGGCTCCAAAAAAATCATTGTGACCTTATTATTCACCACCAACAATGGAACTTAGCAGGCAAGAAGATAATAACAACTACTGCACAATGCAAAAGACATTTTTTAAGATATCTTGAATGGTTATGTTTTAGTTTTAATGATCTTTTGCAAATGTGTCAATGTTTTGGGAGAATAAAAAACAACTTTAGAAATGATACTACTTAGGCTATGTCTAAATCCCTAAATTCACGGTCACTTATCCCAACATCCTTACACAAGCCTCAACTAAACTTTGAACCCTCTGTGTAACTTGGGTCAGCATCACTGTCAAGATGACAGTCTAAAGCTGACCTGGCCCCCATCAACAATTGGGTCAATCTGTTCAGAAATGTTGCAAGATTAGTTTGCCATCGTGCCAAAATGCCTTTTGGGTCGTCTGGAAAGAAAATAAAAATGTTCTTCAGTTATGTAGGGATGTAACTCGAACAATGCTCAATTGACTCATAAAGGACAGCAGTTACGTACCCTCAAACATCAGCCTCGAAACGCTTCAGGTTATAGCAGATAATAAATAGGAAACTGGAAACCTAGGGGTTTCAGTCATGGCAGTACCACATGTATCGATTTTTCCTGAATCACTTCAGGTCTAGCAGTGAGTAAGATAAAATAATCTTTGGTGCCCAGCTCCTTCAAATGATCACAGAAAATCGCCCCCAACAACCTCTGGGATTTACTTCTAAAAGTCTCGAAGCACCTTGTTTTACTTGAGCATGAGGTAGCCCTGGTGAAGTTGTGGTTGTATGGCTATGCAATTGTAATAATTGTATTGTGTTTCTATTCCCAATTCGTAGGGATTTTGTGACTGTGTTAGAATTAACAGTGTCTGTGTAGGCAACGGTAGCTGTTTTTCCCTCTCTGCAGATCTTGTTATTTATTTGTGTCCAAGCGTCTGTACTTCTGAGTATCTGTGCATTTGTATCATATAAATGTTTTATTGCAGTGATCAGCAAGGATGGGCCGATTCTGAAAATTCTGCAATTTGCGAATCCAAACTCTCAAAGCCATAGAACTGGCAAACCTGAATTTTAATTGAGATCATCACATTGAGGAAAATATTCTAATACTACTGACATAGCAGTAGGTCAAATTTGTTGTCATCCGTGTTACTTCATCCCACTACCATTGATTTGAGTCTGATCTTGTGAAGTGATGCCAAGAGGCTGAATTGAATTATACATTGTAGACCGTGAATGAATGAGTAATGTTTGAAAAGAAAAAGTATGAAAACAATTTCCCCAATCAGGGATGGTTCATATTGAGATTGGACCTTCAGGCTTTTTCAGTTTGAACATAGCTTCATGAATTCAGAATTGAATGTGCCCACCCTTACTGATCAGTATCCCGTTGGATACCATTGTAAGTTACGGTACCTGAAATATGCACAAAAGTAAAACATACATCAATGTTTTGTCTCTTGAGGAGTGATTGGATTGTGTTTTTTATAACATTCTACATTTACCTACATCCTGCTAATGCCAGAGGAAACTTACTTTTCGGTGGTCCTTTGACTTTTCCAGTCTTATTGTTCATGATGTAACATCATCTTGATAAAAATGTCTCCTGAATATTCCGACTTTTTGTGAACTGAACAGCATAGAAAATAATAGGTATAATATATATACCGTGAAATCTGCTTAAACTGAAATCTGGGGCACCACTTGATATTCTTCAGTTTAGCTGTGTTTTCAGTTTATTTAGAGAGAGTTTCTCAAATAAAGATGATTGTTGACAACGTAGAGTTTGGAAATGCCATGCTTGTGGCAAATTTTGCTCTATTGATTAATTTTTTTTCTGATTCACTATACCTCTTTTCTTTTCAATTTGAATTGTAGCTGCACAATTTACTGTGCTCTGTGCTACTGCTAGTCTAAGAGAAGTGAGAAAGCCCAATACCAATGACGTCATGAAACACCACACACTCATGTGCAGGGCCTGTGTGAACTAATTTCATAGTGACAACAATCTAGGCCACGGCCAAAAGAAAGTTGAGTGACAGTTGACAGATGCACATTCGCTATCCTTGCTTTGCTTGGCCTGTACAATGTGTAAACCCATTGATGTTTGTGATAATAGACACAGGCACACAGAACACTGCTGATGCTTCTCTCTGGCCCACAATAGACACGGCCCACAATCAACACACATGCATTCTCATGACTCTTTCTCCTGTATTGTTATGCTATCTTGAAGGGCATAAGACTTGATAATTCGCGTTATGTGGGGATTGCTAGTGAAGATTCAGTCAACCCTCAAAATTCCATGCAGTTTTCTGAAATGCGAGTGCTGCAACTTAATTTTTTTACAAAGACAAAGAAGAAAAAAATTGGGGATTTTCTTTTCTTTCACTTTCAGTCTTCAGTTTACTGTTCAGTCTTCAGTTTACTGCTGTTTTACAGTTTAACTCTGTCCGGTTTAAGTTTAAGCAGACTCCAATGTATACATGTATCTGTTTCATTTGCATCTTGAAAATTGTTATGCATTGATTTCACCTTTATTTTATTCTTGAAAAATTCAATACCACGATTGTTTTAATTTTAATGTAATAATAAAACTTTTAAAAACAAAAGAAATTAGTTGTGCTCAAGCTCTGTCTTGTCCTAGGGCAATACTGTAAACTCTGTAATATATAAACTGTTCTGTCTGAGAATATCCCTGTAACTGAATGGTGTCTTTGGTTTGTTAATAATGCTTTTTTCCGGAATGTTTTCATCACGTTAATAAGTTAAAAATAAATATGTTCAAATAGCATGACATTGGAATTCTGTAACTTTTTTTTTGCTAGTCTGCCTACCTTGTGCAATCCCTTTCTCCTCAAATATTTTTCAGAACCACACAGTTGTCACATATTCTTCAAATCTTGCACATGTCAGTACATCTGTAGGTTGATCAGTGTCTGTGGTGCAAAGGTTAAGCTCTCTCCTGCCACACACAGAAGGGTTGAGGGCTCTCGTAGCTTAGAGGTTAAGATGTTCACCTCTCATTCAAAGGTCCCGGGTTCGAATCCGTTTAGCGACCAAAAAATTTTCTTCTCTAAAATTGTCTCCTTTCACCTTCTTTCCTTCTCTCTTGCAATATTCTGTCGTCTGCTTTCGTCTCCACTTTCTTCCCCCACCCCCTCACCTCTTTTGCCCCCTCCACTAGGCTTCTGACTCCTTCTGCAGCCTTTCTACTGCTACTCCTTGGCTGCTTACTGCTGTCTTTCAGCCACTCCCCTGATCTTCTGGTAGGAAAGATCTACACCTAGCCATCTCGGACAAGGGCGAAATATCTCGGAGGTCCCGTGTGCAAGTTGCACACTTAAAATCCCTTGCTGGTCTAAAATCGACTTCGGCCGCCTCCCGGGCAAAATTCAAAGTTTCCTACCAATTGGAAAAATGTTTGGTGTGTGATGTGTCCCGCGCGCTCATATGACCTAATGCAGTTGCGCGCGCCGTAGAACACTTATCAACACCCCCCCCCCCCCCCCCCCCCACCCCCAAAAAAAAACAACAACCGAGAAGGGTTACATTTTATTCCTGTGTGGTGAGGAAGTTATTTCATCAAGTACCTCCGTCCGTCTGCTGATATAATGCTGTATCTCACTCAGCCTAGGAGGGCTCCGATAGGAAGGGCCAGAGCAGCTCATCTCCTAAATTATCTAGACTGTGTTTAGAGGAGTGGAGTATTTATCGTATATTGAAAATATCAGAAGCCACACATTTTGGGCAGACGACCCTCGTGACAAGAAGTGGGCCGACTTATGTCAATGTCAGAAAGGATACAAATATTTATTTATTTTTAGTTATTCAGTGCCATCACATTCAGCATCCTATTACGTACGATTCGTACAGTACTTTACGTCAGGTGTTTTGACACTGACAGCTTAAGAAACGGGAGACACTAATTTCAATTTTGAGGCTCTACGCGTCTTTGGGAAGGGAACTGGGGTTACAAATGACATTTGTAAACATGCCCTTGAACTTTTTAATACAGCTGAGGCAGGGAAAATGGTGGATGAAGCAAAATTTCACACCCAGCGTTCACTCAAGGTCTCACATCGTTACATGTCATTTTTGCCACTTTTTGTACCAATAGATAGTATATCATACCACCAAACAAGGCAAGATCTAGTTGCATTGTGGCACTTTTTTTAACTACATGTACCAGTATGACATTTTGGTAGCACACTGACGATATGCTTCCTTGACATTACAAGAGAGCATGTGTATTGTTAAATTAAAATACACGTAGAATAAGGAAAGGTAAGATCAGGATATATTTAATATATACTTTATTGATTATCCATTGTAAGAAATTGACACAGAGTGGTGCGCTTTCACTAGCTTCTGTAACACAAATAATATACGAAGCACCATATCAACGCATCATATTCTTCCTCCCGCGCTCATGCCAGGCACTCGATGACCCCCCCCCCCCCTCGTACTCAATCCCTCTCTCACTCTTATTATTAGCAATAGATCTACACTCACTCCCTCCCTCACTCATACTAGCCACACACTCGCTCCATCTCTCATTACTAACACTCACATAACATGGCAACACTATATAGGCAAACGCATGGCATACACATCTAGTAATGAAATATGAGAGTGAATGGTTGATTTAGACAAACATTACAATCTTCGCGCTGCTGGGGATAAAAAGGATTTGCTGTACATCTCTTTTAATTAAATATATCCACTTGTTAGATGGCTTGGCTGCCTAGTGCATTTATTTCTCATTTTATTTTGGAAGTACATGTACATCTCTTAACTTTTCAGGAAAGAAAAAAAATCAGGGCCCTACCACTGATCAGTCGTGTAGTATGGATGTTAATTCTTTAATGTAAATTAAGTAAATGTTGTATGGCCCAATCAACACAAATTAGATCTTATTTAGAGGCAGGCTGCTTCTGCCCTATCCTATCTGTCAAGGTCAACTTCGGATGAGTATGACACAACATCCCAACAACAGACGTAGACAATGGGATTTTTTTTAAAGGAAAAAAGCTGTTCGATTCAAGAATCAAACTGACATGATCTTCTAACAAGCACAGGCAAGAAGCCCAATCACTACATCACAGACACAGATCACAGACAATTGAGATAATAGCAGTAAAGAGAAATGAAGACATTACATATTTGGGAAAATATCACGAATCAACTCATTTGTTTGAGTAAGAGTACTGAGGTACTTGCAACACAAATAGGTTTTACATGTGCTGAAAATTAGAGGTGTTACTAGAGAGTAACATACATAGAAAAGATGGGGAAGAGGAAAATGCGAGAGATGTTTGATAGGAAAGACGGTGCAAACCACATCAACCACACACAAACTCATTAAACATTTGTGAATCAAGGCAGAAATTATGATTGTAGTATAATTGGTATTCATCTCATCAAAAGCCTGTTCCCATCAGATTGAATATGGTGAATGATTGAGCCCTTAGATAAATCTGTTTGTGTCGATGAAAGACATAAGTATCTATTTGGATAAACACCCTGCCTCCTAAACAATCAAGCGCACATGCAGCGTGTAATGATGAAGAGGCTAATCACAACACCACAGATGTCCCCACATACAGAGGAAAAACAATTAACCGACTAAAAACGCACATAAAATATGAAGCGCTAAAAATAAAAGTCACCCCCCCCCAAATCATGGCGATATCGTATTCAACCCTTTCAAGATCCTTGCCAGCTCTGCAAAGACTAACCATTTTGAAGAAAAACAGCAGAATGACAGTCTCCAGCTGAGAACAAGGGGGAATGACGACAGCCACCACTGTACCCAAAGTACAGTACACATGTATCTTGTTGGGTCCATGAAGATCTTCTTCTAATAATCTACTTCTTCCTCAGTGCCTGGTCAGAAATTGGCGACATCGTGGTTTCGACTCTCATTTCTTTGCTGGCATGCTCTCAAAACCACCTTTATTATTCTGATCTTCACTAAGACACGGGCTGAGGTGACATCACTCGGAACAAGCAGCGACGAGCGTAGATATGACCATTTATTAAATTGCTTAAGGAGAGTTTTGAAACTCTCGTCCAAAATCACCTGGAAAAAAAAAACATACATTAATCAGATACAGTTGAACAGGGCTTATAGTGTTAATCTATACGGTTTAAGGTTAAAAATAATCATTCTCAAATGTTGATATTCAACCCACCAGATCTGGGCACACACTTGAGCATGACTACGTTTACTCCTCTGAGCACTAACACGTTTCAGCAGGCACTTAAGTGTTCAGGGGAGTCCACTTAACTCAATGAGTGCTGAGCAAAAACATAAATACAGACTTCAACATAAGTTAAGGACCACCTTGACAGACATGAGACAGACCTGATTTTTTTTAAATCCGAAAAAAAAAAGACAGTAAGGAATGTTTCATTTTTTTGCTCTGAAAGTGTTAATGGGTTAACAATGCGTACTGAAAAGCTTCCTAAAGTGGCAAAACCACCTCGTGCAGCACGGAAATCCCTGGGGAATTTTAGCAAAATTTGCAAGTTAAGAACTTATGCTGAACCAGAGACCAAGCAATATTATGTAGTTATATAGGTCTCAAGTTGTAGTCTATATATATATATAATTGATTATATATGCACTCCCCTGTTGTGCTGAACTATTTCTGAGTGAGCAGGCCGGGTTAAGGGTGAAAAAAAGTTAAAGAAAAAATAAACTACGTCACCCATCAGCACAGTTTTCCTGCTGCTTCAATAAAATTGAAAGCAGTATCTTGTGATTATGTAAACTTTAACAAAAAAATCCAATGTGGGTTTAAATTTTACAATAGCTATGATGTTTGGGTCTAGATCTAGCGATGATCATACGGTATCGGCACCATTACCTGATGTCTCACCATTGCCATCAAAATCAAAGCTACAGTCAGCATTATCACTCGATGAACTACATGTATACTATTAACACACTCCTGATCAAAACCCAATAACAGCTTTAAACTTTCCAGATCGGAAAGTCACTATGAAACTATGACAGTTCACTTTCCACATCTGGAGGTCTTACAAAAAAGCCAAACTTTAAAAAATTAAGAAATACACACCACGTCAAAATGACTCTATAAAAGAACCTAAACATATCTGGACAGCTTTCCCTTTACTCATTTATGACTCTACACATTGTATAAATTCAGAGTTATCCTTTTTTTGCACGTTTAGCTTCACGAAAAGAGGACAGGGGTTTTAAGGAGAATACTAGCCAAACACACACGGGGCAGAAACCAGCAGTGTCGAATTCTCAGCAATAGCACTGAATGAGTTTAACTAAAATCTGGGGATCTACTGGGTTTTTTACATTTTTTTTCAGTAGGCCTGTTGTCGAGTTTTCGGTTTATTAAGGTTGCTCAAGTAGAAGAAAAAAGAGATTCTAATTCTGTTTTCTCTCAGTTTTCGGATTAACTGTGTTCGGTCTAAGTGAACTCCACTGTAGTCAAAGAACAGAAGCTCCGGTGCACAGGTTCTCTAGGTTCAGGGAAGCCGGGGCTCAAAGGGTTAAGCGTGGCTAGAAGGTTTTGAACTGGGTCTTTCTGCATATGAGTTCTTTATGAGAACTAGAAACTGAATACTTTTATGAGACTTAATGTTAAAGGTAGCTACAACGTCAAAAATGAGAAACTCTGCCATCTTTAATGAGGAATAATTATGGGCACAACTATAGCTCAATAATTGGCATCATGCTAAGCTATAGTGCAGATGACCTGGGTTCAAATCCCCTACGGGGAAAATGTCTTGAACTTGTGTTGTCAGTCCTGCCTGGGATGGACATTAGATTTGGAGATGCTGCCTCTTTACTTCAGTGTTGAAAGAGACATTAAACTCACACAATCACGGTAATTTTTTTCCTCCCAAGATTAATGTTTTGAGAACATTTCGGAACCTAACATTAGCTTGGCTGAGGGATCTATAATAACGCGCTAGAATTTGCTGAATATCACTAAGACAAGCCTGCTACTGTCGATTATAATAAGCTTATCTTAATTATGTTATGCAAGAGAGGACGGGGAAGGCCTAACAGAAATTGGGAACAGGACAGAGAAACCTGGTTTGGAAACAGAACAACTCGACGGGCAGGCAGAATACATGTAGCAAGATACAAAGAGATTTATAGCAGGAAAGTACGAGAGCAAGAAACATTTAAAAAGCCAAGTTGAAAGAAAAAGGTATGCTCTAATCCAGTATTTGAATGTGCTCTATAATTTTTCAGTACCCCCCCCCCCCCCAAAGATCCCTCAAAACACCATTAACACTCAGATGATGAGAGCAGACCCAGAAGTTAGCCCACAGTGGCGGCACCTGGGATTACGCAGAATGAACAAGTTGGCAAAATTAACAGGTGGGCGCCAACATTTTAAGGGAACTCGCTATTGATATTTTCAGTTTGTCTAATTTTGCATTTTTGCGATTCTTCAAGTCAGGGTTCATTAGATGGAAGTAAGTTATGAAAAATATGTAGGTGAAAAATAACCCGCAAGAAGATGCGTCGCAAAGGCAACGGCCACCATCTCGGATTTGTTTAAATTCATAATTCCTAAAATCTCAAAAAGTACTTTGGATAATCTAATTTTTCTTTTTTTTCTGTCAAAAGGTATGCCTTTTCTTGAGCTTGTAGAACACAAAAAGATAGGAACCATACCAAGCAGGCTTCAGAAAAGGTAGCAACACTCAAGACATCCAGGAAGGTTTTCAGAAGACAAACACACGGTCACCATCTCTGCAGACCTCCAACAGGCGTACGACAGAGGTGGAGAAAAGGCCTACTCCCGAAAATGATGGACCTCGGGATACATGGCAAACTATATAAATGGATCAAGTTCTTCCTAGCGGATCGAAACATCAAAACCAAGGTGAACAATGCCAACTCGTCAAGAAAAGTACTCGAGGAAGGCCTACCAAAGGCTCCCGTCTGATGTGCACTTTGTTCCTGATCTTCTTCGATGATATAACGAACGTGCTGAAATCCGAAAAGACTCTCTAAGCTGAAGATCTTGCTCTCTGGCAGACACATCACAGCACGGTAGTAGGAGCAGGGAAATTAAATGCAGACCTCAAGAAGCTCCACAATTACTGTCAGAAAAGGAAGCTTAAAATAAACGACACGAAGACAGTATATACACCATCTTTAAAAAGAGCAACAAAACAGCCAAAGAAAAACTCTAGCTGAAGATAGGAAATGAGAATCTCCCCAAGGAAGAACAACCCACATGCCTAGGAGTCAAACGTGACCAAAGTCTGACCATGAAAAGCCAAGTGGAGAGCATAGGAACAAGACTTTAAAAAACTCGCAAGAAGCTAATGGGGATCAGACAAACACATTCTGAGAGATCTTTACCTCGAGTATGTCCAATCTTCCTCAGAAAGCAGCAATAGCCTACTCATTATGTGCAGTACAACTACGCAAAACAATGAACAAGGTTCAAAATAATACTATTCATTTCATAAACGGTGGCATGAGATCCACATCTACTGCCACAGGTGAAATCCTTTGAAATGTAGAACCCCTGGGAATTCGCAGAGATAAAGCAGTTTTGGAGCTCCGTGAAAGAATCAAAAGAATGTGCCCCAACCATCTTAACAGGAAATTAGTAGAAACATGGAAACCAAAGAAACGACTTCAACAAAAATTAATCATGCATCACATCACGAAACTAATGGAGAGTCACTATCTGCCAGAAAACAGAGAAGAAATCAAAGAATCAACGAAAACACCCCTCCCCACATTTCTTTTTTTAAAAACCCACAAAAACAATCAGTATACTCTCAGAGACAATTGCACAACATTTTCAGACCAAGTGACGCTGACGCTTGCAACACATCAAACAATCGACAGCTAGCCAGATGACTGGATACACGTCTATACAGACGGTTCCTCATTCAAAGTCACAACCGCAGCCGGATATGGAATACTAATACAATACCCAAATGAGATCTCTATAGCCTGTGGAGAGAAATGCAGCAACTATGATGCAGAAATGGATTTGAAAATGCTAATTGAAACAACACTGTACCATCACTGCACAGTTTTTGACACTCATCGGAACAAACACAGAGTATTGTGATTTTCACTGACTCAATATCAGTCTTGTATGCGGCAGAAAATGACCATCATCCAACCAAGACTTGACATATATACGGTTTGGATCTAATCACCTGGTATCATTCTGTGGCGTCAACCTGGTGAGGCAGGGGATTCCGGGACACTCAAACTCATCTGGAAATGACAGGGCAGACACACTTTCCAATACGGGATCTAGACAGGAACAGCCCAACATTAAAACTTCAAATAACACTGGGAAAAAAAATCATAAAAAGCCACAACAAACAAGATTTGATGAACAGATGGGCCTTGGGAAAGACAGGCACAGCAGTTTTCAAATATATGACCCCAACAAAACGAAATGACCATACCACCTACAAAGAAAGATACAGACCACGGTCTTCGGCCTACGAACAGAACATATACAGCTCATTTACTTTTGAACAAAATAAAACCAAAAGTTTCCCCAACATGTCCTTTGTGTGACTATGCATATGAGTCTGGATCATCACCTGTGCCACTACACAGCCCTAAATGACACCAGAGCTGCTATCTCTCTTCGAGACCTAACATTGATAACACACTCTATGGAACATTACAGCAACTGCAGCAAACCTGCACTTATCACTACATGGCATTGGACAGAAGGTCGAGGTCATAGCGGTTGCTAACAACAACAACAACAACAACAACAACAACAACAACAACAACAACAACAACAAAAACTCTATGCAGTTCAGTTTAAAGGAGGGAGAAGATTTTGAAATTTGATGTTCATCAATTTCGCAATATTTGTGACTAATTGGCATATTCAAAACACCTCTACAAAGGAATCTGCCACATAATCGGAGAAAAACAGTTGTCATACCATCTTTGGGTATCGCTGAACAACAACCATGCTAAGATTAAAAAATCAAGCCCGACAATTTTTTTTTGATTTTAGGATTATAAGAGGCTTAAGTACCTTAAAAAGGCCCCCCCCCCCCCCCCCCACACACACACACTTTTAGACCAAACAGATGTTTCTAAATGAGTGTTTGGTTTCTTTGGAATTTAAAGTAAAACTAACGCTTGAGCGTTAGGCCTACAACAAAAATTCGATATTTTCACCCCAATACCAGAATCATTGTGATGGAATCGGAAGCAAGTCTCCTTAATAGATCAGGTCTTTTGCAACGCCCAACACCTCTTTCTTCTGTAACATCAAATAAACATCTTTCTCGTTGCTCAGCCCTTGTTGGTAACATCAGTGGCGTCTTGTGGGGGTGGAAATTGCAGCTTCAGTCCCACCTCGTTTTCTTCATTAAAGTGTTACTCCTCTGACTAAATTCAAAACATTTCAAAAATGTTTTTTTAAGGGACAAAGCATAGTGTAGTCCGATAAAAGGCAAAACTCCACCAACACCCAAACAAAACTCCTGAGGCACAACAACTCGAAAAGTGATCCTGATTGGTCTGTATGTCTACTACTACTACTACTACTACTACTACTACCACCACCACTACTACTACTACTACTACTACTACTACTACTACTACTACTACTACTACTACTATTCCATACGACTGTAGCCCCATCCAATCAGGCGTTTCTTTCGTCGGGGAGAATTAAATTTAGGCATCGTTAAACTTAATTGGTTTGTCCAATTCCAATTAGGTGGGATCGGTTTTCACTTCCTGAACAGGTATCCCTGACATATCAAACGCTATGAATGGTTTTGTACTATATGTATTTTTAGTGTATGCTGACACTTAATTTTAAAAAAATTTAACCTGCTGATCGATCTCAACAATAGTTTTAGAACAACAAAAAAAGAGCTGACCCATCTCTTCCAGTTACGTGGTTTGAGATGACATAGACATCCTACAGGTCCAAATCGCTACGAAAAAAAAAAAAAACATGGAAATTCAGGTATGGTGACTCAAAATATACCATGTTGTCGAAGGTATGTCCTATCAAGACTTAAAAAAAATAAAAGTACAGTATTAGATGCACAAAGCAATTTAAATATAAATGTTATCAGGAATATATTACAAAATCTGGACATTTTCAGAAATCTGGACTTATCTTGAAAATCTGCACCTCTGGATAACACCACTGATCTGCCCTTCTCATCTATATGTTAAGCACACACCTTATTTTAGCCTAGTCCGATGTTCAACGAGCCTCCAATAGCAAAAAGTAAAACAATGATATTAATCAGAATTCGCCGATCAAAGTTACGCTTTGCCAAGATTTTACTCACAGAAAACACTCTTCAAGGAAACATTGACGATCTGAAATCATACATTATTTGTCATTAAAACTGTCACCTTACCCCAAATTGATGAGAACCTTGGGTTCGGGAGTATTGACTTCCGCATTATACCATCCATCGTTTGGAAAGTGAGTCGAACAATTGATTTGAGCAAGACGAAGCGGAGTAAATCAGTTTCAGTGAACATCATCTTTTCTCGCGCCTTCCATTGCTGCTTGGCCTTAGTCACCATATCTTTGCAGTCAGCGAAAAAACGCATGTCCTCCCGTTTTAAATGCAAACTTAAGCCTTGGGCCACTCTGCGCAGGACTGGGAAGTCTTGCAATGGCACTGTCATAGAGGAAAACGCAGTTTTGTAAACACAGAGGTGTGGACGAGACAGATTTGTCAATGTAGAGGTGTAACATTTTTCTGATCTGTATTTAGTATTTGCATTCCTCAGCTAGATCTCACTGGTAGTCGACTTCTTCAACCTGTAGTGCAGCCATATCCCAATCCCAGAGGTTCTAAATTTTTTAAAAATTAATACAGACACGGATATTTTCAGTTTTGGTAGTACATGTAATTAATTTTGATTTTGCCCAGGTGGCAGCCAAAGCCTATTCTTATCGATTTTAAGACCACTAAATGCAATTTGCAAACATGACACTCCCCACCCCTTACTTTTAATAAGCGTTTTGCGGTACTTGAAACACAATACGGTCATAATATAAGTGCCGAAGATTAGAGGTGTTACAAGAGAGCAACAAACACAAAAAAGGAGGGAAGATAAAGACGATAGATGCTTGATAGGAAAGAAGAAGCAAACCACACCACTACCTACCTTAAGATCAGGGGTGAGGTTGAAAGACTGCAGTAAGGTGTAGCCAGATGTAGCAGCAGAAGAAGTCAGGAGTAAAGAAAAGAGGAAAGGGGTGGGGAGGGGTGGGAGGTGGACAGGTAGGCAGTAAGCGGAAAACAGAACATGACTACAGAACAAGAAAAGAGGACAAAGGAGAGCATTTTAGAGATTGAATTTTTTTTTTTTTACCTCCGGCCTGTTTCAATCCAGGGTTCGTTTGAGAGGCGAACATCGTACCTTTAGACCTCAAGAGCTCCCCCCC